GTAAAATTTTAGACCCTACAAGTCCACTCAGTCCTACTCCTTGGTCAGCCAATCACTCAGACAAACAAGGTTGGTTACAATTTGCAGAAGATAATGCTGCCTGCTTCTTATTTACAATGTCACCTGAAAGTGAGAACAGGCGATGGCACTATTGTAGCTGGTGTTGCAAGATATTTACGTGCCAGATGCGCTAAAGATACATATGTCCCTTCATGCTTCAACCACCATTCCAGAGGACATGCTTCCATGCTGATGATGGGTTCTGGTTGATAACGATCCAAAGAAGTACGGACTGATGCATGTTCACTTTCATCATCTGAGTTAGATGCCACCAGAAGAAGGTTCATTTTCTTTTTTGGTGGTTTGGGTTCTGTAGTTTCCGCATCAGAGTGTTGCTCTTTTAAGACTTCTAAAATCATGCTCCACACCTCATCCCTCTCAGATTTTGGACGGCACTTAAATTCTGATTATTAAACCTTGGGTCGAGTGCTGTAGCTATTTTTAGAAATCTCACATCGGTACCTTCTTTGCGTTTTGTCAAATCTGCTGTGAAAGTGTTCTTAAAATGAACATGTTCTGGGTCATCATCTGAGACTGCTATAACATGAAATATATGCAGAATGTGGGTAAAACAGAACAGGAGACATACAGTTCTCCTCCCAAGGAGTACAGAAACAAAAATAATTGATGCATTATTTTTTTATTTTTATTTTTTTTAAATGAGCATCATCAGCATGGAAGCATGTCCTCTGGAATGGCGGCCAAAGCATGGAAGCGGCATACAAGTGTTTAGCATATCTGGCATGTAAATACCTTGCAACGCCGGCTACAAAAGTGCCATGCGAACGCCTGTTCTCACTTTTAGATGACATTGTAAATAGAAGCAGTCAGCAGTATCTCCCATCAATGTAAACAGACTTGTTTGTCTTAGCGATTGGCAGAATAAGATATAGGACTTGTAGGCTCTAAAGTTTTACAATGTTTTGTTTTTGAGTGAGATTGAGTTTAGTTTTAGCTTGTTTTCCAAAATATCTGCTATGTAGACCAACACTTTCTTATTTTTCTGAAAGGGCATTGGAGCGTCATGTGCTTGCATTGTGGTATGAATTTCTATATCTTTTATGTCTCCTAAAATTGCTTCATTCCTTCTGTCGACCATGGAGTGAGTTTTCTGGAAAGTATCACAATGGATGAAGGTGTTCTAGACAGCTGGTAACAGTCATTTTGAATGCTGTCGTAGGAGCCAGATGCTACAGGAGAAACAGTCTAATCTTTACCACTAGGGTCCTCATCTTGGATAGTTGTTTCCAGCATGTTTAATTTATGTTGACTATTTTTACTGGGGCATCTTGTACAGACTATCTTGTTTTTGGGCTCCCATTTATTTATGTGGTGCAACAATTCCAAACTGTCCTGTGGAGCATTTGCTGGTGGGTTGTTGAGAGTTTTTGGGTCACATAATACTGGTGTTCTGGTTTCCACCTGTTTTTGGAGGTATCCAGACTACATATAACAGACATTGGAAACAAGGAGGAGCATCCAGTCTAGCTGTCTCTACTAAGAGCCACAACTATGTAGGAGGAGAAGAGGAAATCGGAGCCAACCATGGGATCTAGAACCACAAGCTGGACTGGAATTTTAGCCACCAGCTGGAGGGGAATGTTCAGGATTATGAGAGTAGGGGAAGGAGAGGATCAGGTGGCAGGGCACCATGTAAAAGGGCGAGGAGGAACAGGCAAAAGAAAGCATCAGTACAGAAGATGAATTAAAGAGCTAAAGTCAATGTCCTGATTACATTGTTTCAGTAAGGACAAAACACATTGTAGTAGAGATATCTAAAAACAAATAAAGGCTTTCCTATCTTCCATGTAAGCAACTGTTGTAGTTGCCACAGGACAGTTATGGGAAGGGAGGCAACTGTAGGCAAAGACCACAGGACTGTTATCTGGTCCACTAACCAACCTATTAATATAATGTCGACCACATGGTGAAAAAGTCTGAGAACCCCCGAAGTAATATTTCAGCAACCAGAGGATACCTCACTCCCGTATTGTCTTAATTTATATGCAAAGCCCTCTTGTAGGTCTCTTATTTGGGGGTGGACTAGAGCCAAAACCAGAAAAATCTAGAGTCTGTTTCCATCACTGTCTTCAAAGACTTATTGTCGTAAGTCTAATAAAACAACGTATGTTCTGTTAGTAATATAATTGCTGACAAAACTGTTAATAATATAAATTGCTGACAAAACAATTGTTAGTGTGGTTAACTAGTTAACCTCTTGGGAGATACACTGAGCAAAGGAAAGTGTGACTCTTAGATTCTGGTATGCTGGTCCTCTGGCCCCAAACAGTATATTTGTAGTCATCATTGTCAGTTGGCTGTATTATTTGGACTCAGATAGTCTGTTTTTAAATGCATGCGTTGTTGTTGTTTTCTAACGTGATCAAAATCTCAATCCTGTGAGATACTGAGTGACCTCCTCAACTCACATTGAGTTATATGGGAGCAGAGGGCTCTCAGCACCTTGCAGGATAGAATCTCCTAACTGAAAAAATGTTAATTTTTTGGAAGCTGCGGACAAATCCTTCTAAGCATACACTTTCAATCAGGAAAATACAAGCATTCTAATGGGTTAATAAAATATGTAAAGTGAATCTTGGTTTGGAATAATTCATCTAATGAATATCACATCAGTAACATTTGCTGCTAAAATGTACAGGGCCTGATTTTGATTTCATCCTGGTTTTTATACCATTATAATTCTGACTTCAGTGAAGTTCCTCCTGATTTACACTGGTGTAAGTGAAAGTTCTTCTAAAATTCTAAGTAAGTTGCAAATGTGTTTCACCATAATCCAGGAATTTGGGGGATGTGTGTGGAATGACTTAAATGGCAGGAGGAGGAAGGATGTTCAGCATGTAACTGATGCAACCCCCCAATTCCCCTCACTCACTCCCCGCTTTTTTTGTTTTTGTTTTAAATGGTTGTAGATTCCAGGCATCTAGACTGGCAGGATTCCGCTCCATGTGCACTAGGCTGTTGGTTTTGCAACCAGCACAAAACTGCTGCAAACCACAACCTTCCTATAGGGGGCCATTGGGCCAGGTAGGAAGGTTCCCCCCCACTATTGCATTTTTTTTTGGTGAGGATTTTTTTTTATGGGGGTAGGAGCCCCTTCTGCTTTTATTGGATACAAACTAAGAGTACCAAATAATTTGAAAAAATATGCAATAAAGCGTGTGTATGCAAGCGAGGAAACCATTTGCCGGACCTCCTATAGTTTTGTTGCAATCTGCAACTGAGATTTCTGGGTGGGTGGGGGTTGTGCAGCATAATGCAGGGTTAGGTTTCATGTATAGTAGGAGCCTAGATGTTTGGGTAAAGATGCTAGCAACTCACTGTTAATCTATTAAGGATATTTTGAGAATTTTATTTTGGTGCTTAGATGGCTTAATATCCTTGGATGAAGTATAACTTTACATTTTATTGTGAACAACAAGGTCAGAAGCAATATGAAACAGAAAAATGTCTTCCTTAGTATTTTTTAACATGTATGTAGAATTGTTAGAAATTGCCTATGCTTTTTAAAAAAAACCCTGTAATTAAAGGGACATTATCAAGGTTAGACTAGGTTAAATCAAAACATTTTGATTTAAAAAAAAACTGGGCCCAGTCCTATGAGGTGTTGAGTATTTACAGTCCCATTGATTTTAAAGGCTACACCTCACAGTATTAGCACATTTATGTACTTTGCAATTATTCTCTAAAATGCATGTTGTAATACAGTTTCTTTGACTTAAAAAGAAAATCGGCATGTTCACTGACAACCCATATATAATTCCCCCCTCCCCCCATACATGTGGAGAAATGGTAGGGTCTTGTTGCAGCAACTTGTTGATACTTCCCCATTGTTAAATTTAAATTTAGTTGTCTTTTTGAATAGATTTGTATCTAAAAATGCTTACAATGTAGTAGAAATTAAAATCCCAGAGACATGTTATAGCAAAACTTTATTTCAACTATCTCCAGAAATAACACAGAAATACATTACACACCCACTGCAACTGAATGGCAGAAATAAGACACTAGCTACAGGCAGCTGAAACTGCTGAAGCTGCTAGGGGGCTCTGTAGAATTAAATAGCAGTCTTTAATGCACAACTCTGTGGCTCTCTTATTCACAGATCTCTATGGCTCTTCTGACCTCTAGGGGTTCTCTTCCTGTTGAAGTGCTTCTTTTCCTGTAGCAGGTATTTGCAGCAGGCTGGCTCTTTGTTACCCTCTGCTCTCCTCACTCTCTAGGTGTTTTGAAGGTATGAATCAATTGGTCTCTCTGTTATTCTGCAAAAGGAGCCCTAAGAATGGCCCACTGATTAATTTTAACTATTTGTGTTGTACAGGTTTCAAATCTAGGAGGGGCAATGTGATTGGCTGAGTGCCTAACAACCCTCCAGTGATGTCATGCACCAAGGGTCAGGGAGCACTTCCTGACTTCATTACACCTGGGTTCAGGAATATTAATTAAATGTTGAATGACCTTTTAAAAAAAAATGTCTTCTGTAAAAGTTGTCTGTTTTCCAAAGCGATGGCGTAGGCTGTGGTGTGTGTGCACAAGGGAAACTGCATAGGAGATAGGAAAATGTGGAATCTGTGATTTAAAATATATATAATATATATTACAGTTGACCTAGCATCCCTGCTCATAATCAGCCCTAAAACCTATGTGGTGAAAAATGGTGAAGGGAAAAAATATTTCAAGCTTCCAAGGGGTTGTTACAAAGGAACAAGGGAGGGACCTTAATGGTTTCTTTTTAAAAAATGTTATACTTACCTGTTTTGCATAAAAAATTAAATTGTCAGCCTCAAAGCAGCCTTGCTCTTAGTATTGTACAAAAATTATTATTAATGGTGTATGGATGTTGTTACAGTTTTTAATGCCATTGTAATTATGAGCAAGTTTTTAATTATTACAAATCAAAGTGTATAATACTAAACTACAGTTAATACCCTTCTGTCACCCATGCCAGGCAAAAAAAGGGGCTAGTGGTAAGCATTCTAGTGTCTAATAATTCTGATGTGCCTTGCAACTTGAGTAAAATACATTTTACACGGCAGTGTGGTCGTTTAGATGCTTAGACTTGGAAGAATTAAACTAAAGCACAACATATCGGATTTACTTAAATTAATCTGACAATTCTGCTAAATATTTTGGTGCCCAGCTTATCAAAACCCTTATTTTCTTTAGACAAGCTAACACCTAACCAGGCTTCTTGTGTGCACAGCTGAAGAGCATTTTTCTCTTTGCACTTCAGGTATGCAGAATACAAGCTAATATAATCTTCAAACTAGAGAAAATACCTAAAACCTGTAGTCTTCTAAAACATCTCCATTATGAAAAATAGTAACATGTAACTTTTGCTAGTTTCAGAATTTAGCCGTCATAAGCATACTTTAAGTAATACCTATCACACTAAGTGCACTTTATAGAAATGATGTGACATGAATACATAGCAAAATAAAACATCCTCACTTAGAAAAAAGCTCTTTGGCTAGCAAAGTGGTACAGTAATCCTACATCTTGCCTTAATTTATTAAGATCACTTTTGGGAATACACTTGGAACTTCAGGCACAGACTACTGGACTTTGGTGTGCTCCATCCTCTTTTACAGTTCCTCATCGCTGGCCCAGAACATGGTCTGTAATCTGGAGGCAGCTGCTCTCAGGTCCTTCTAGCTATAATAAATGTGCATCATAAAGAAGTGTGGGTGATAGATACAGTACATGGAGCTCTGCCCTGCAATATGTGGGATACTTCATGTGATATGCAGAGTGCCCCCAATTCCCACCATCTTGAATAGGGGTTGAAGATATTCAGCAAGATCAGACCTATAAGCAGTACAATCTGGTTTCCAGAATAATACTTGATACTTATATAGCAACTTGCATGTTTAAATAGCTTTACAGATATTAAGTGATCCTCACAACATCTTTGTGAAGTACTGGCATCCTCATGCTAGTTTGGGAAACTGAGGTGCAATGTTCAAATTAACTTTCTCCGGGTAATGCAGTGGGTCAGCAGTTGAGCCGTGATGGAAATTCATGGACTCCAGTTCCATACTTTGATTCACTAAAACACAGTGCCAGCGATGTCAGGAGACCAAACTTAGGGCAAAGTGAAGGCAGTTTTCAGAAGAATTTAAAGTGGTATAGACTAACAATTTTATCATGTTGACTAGAGCTGTAGAAATTACAGTAGAGCTACCATGAAGTATTGTAGTAGGAGAGAGGATCAGAACATTGCCTTAAATGCAACACAGCATTTTTTCCAGTATAGGAAAAAGACTACATGCAGAAGCACCAAATAAGGCCTGTGGTAACTAGTGTGAGAGTATTATGATCCAATGGTAAGGAGTGTGTCAATTGTGCTGTCGTCTATTAAAACTATGTGCAGTCAAGTCAGGACTACAAAGTGATGTAGTAATGTGAGTAGCAAGAACACTCATTTATCTTACTTTATTGCTAATTTTTGCAGCCAGCTTCCTTAAAACTGCTTTGGGACAGTGCAGGTCAAGCAGGTTTTTATGGGGAAAAACTTTCCTCCCTCCTCCTCCTGTTTGTTAATTGCAGTTGCTGTGAGTCTACTTACAATACCACACCAGAACATCTGTATTAGCATAATATGGTAATTTATAAAAACCTTGCTATTTTAATTTCACTATATTACTCAATGCAACAACACTTTGGTTTTGGATATTGACTTTTTCTGTTTCCTATAAGATGGTTATGTTCTCATTAGCCCAGGTTGTAAGTAGTTGTGTACTGCTTCTTGCAATCAGTGGGATACTGTCCTGTGAGCAGATTGCTCTATACAGTTATGTACTATTTTGTATATGAAAATAACCTCAAACTCTGAAGCCAGCTCTTTGTCCCCATTATGCAACTATAGGAATATATTATTTTTCTCCTAACATTTTCTAGAAATGTGTTTCTAAAGGATTGTGCACCTCTCATCAGAGCTACACTGGCGGTAGATCAGACACTTGAAGGGTGAGCCTCCCAAGCTTGCACTATGACAAGCAAAACATCTGCCTTTTTTGAAAAAGCAATAGCCAATCTGCAGACTCATGTTTTTAGGACTTGATGATGTGTGTTGCTCAGAACCCTCAACCTTCAAAGACTTCTGTGGGAGTTGGGGGTTCTCATCATGTCACAGGGTTCTGCTCTTAGAAAATTAGGCAGTCTAGCCTCAACTTTGGAAGGTCAGAGGTGTTTGGGGGGGGTGGTGGCTGAAAAGGGAAAAAAGAGAATGCAGGTGCTGTACTTGCTAGGTAGTTATTCAGTGCAGCAAAAATGAAGAAGTTGTCTTTATATACACATAGTCTCTTCCGGAGACAATCTGAGCAATTTGAGTCCGTGCCTCCAAATGGCTCTTGGGGTCTGTTCCTTCAATGCAACAGTGTGATGGTAAAGAAGAGTAGGAGCTTAGATAGATTAAGGCAGGTTGGATAGGTCAAGAACCAGGGCTGCTCTCCAACAAGTAGGGGCCAAGCCATTATTAGGGTTTCCTTGGAAGTTCAGTGAAAATTCCTGTTCAATATGCAGCAGTGTTTTTTGTTTAGCTAAACAATATTGGGATGCATAAGGAATGGGATGAAAAAATATGTTTAATATCATTGTACAAGTCAAATATATATCCAAACTTGGAATATTTTGTTCATTTCTGGGCACCTTCTAAAAGGCTAGAGCAGAATAAATAAAGGCCATTCAGAGATAGATGACATTTGTTTGGGACAGGGAAAAACTTCCACGTGAGAAAATATTGGGACTTCTTAGAGAGAGGACAATTAAGAGTCAGCATGATAGAAGTATACAAAGTAAAGAAGGTATAGAGAAGGCCAGTTGGGCATTCTTATTTACCCTTTCTCATAATACAAGAATGGTGAGGGGACCCAAAGAAATTGAAAACAACAAATTCAAAACTGCTAAAAGATAATTATTTGTTACAACAAAATGTATAAACACGTGGAACTTACTTCCAAGAGATAACATGAAGCCATAGAGCTTAATAGGATTAAAAAATGGATTAGAAATGTATATGAGTAGTCAGAATATCCACAGTTATATTAGTTAGAAAAAAAGGGATATAAACCCTCACCTTCAGTGCATAATTAAACCACTGATTGGGAGGAGAAGTTTTCCCCAGTCCCAATAGGCTGGTCATTGAGTTGTCCATTTTGAGGATTTTTGCATCTTCCTGTGAGGGTTTTGGTGGTGGCCACCATCAGAAATGGGATACGGGACAAGGTGGACTGATCAGGTATTATAGTTCCTATGTTCTAAAGCTTTATAGTTGGCCTTATTGGCAATAGGCAGAGAAGCTTCTCCAATACATCTAGACCTGGTACCTCTGTTCCCAGTTCTTGCTTCTGCAAGATCTTGATCTAAGATCTAAGCAGTTACACTCCAGTATGTCTTTCCCAGGTCAATTACTCCTTGTTCCTGCTGTGGTTGAAGGCTCCTCCAAGTCTGCTAAGGGTCCCAAGAAGGGAACCTATCAAGAAGGATATTTAATTCTAAGGTGGATTGTGTGATATACTGTATATAAAACTAGGGCCTTCAATGGTTGCCAGCAGAAGTAAAACAAAGTAGAAATAAAAACGTACTAGTGATCTATTCATGTTTTCATGTATGCCTTGAATCTTGTAAAAAGAATAAATCCAAAAGGATCTAATAACGCCCAAGGCAAACGTACACATCACCTCTCATTCTGACAGCTCCATAGAGGAAAGAGACAAGAAATCCAAAACAGGTTTTTTCTTCAAGGACAATCTGATGGTTGAAAATGTGGTAAACACTTTAAAGAGCCATTCCAAGCTGTCTGAATTGCAAATATTTTTCAACCTGTTCAGAAAAAGAACTTGGTATTGTATGTTGGTGCCGAAGGTCCCATCATGCTAGGTGCTGTACAAACATTGCTTACAATCCAAGTTGAACCTCTCGTTTCCCTGAATGAAGCAATTAGTTTACTGAAGGGGCAAAACCTACAGTGACAATTCTCAGGATCTCTCACCTCCTATAAAGTGACAAAGGATTGTACAGTACTACGTCGAAGCGCCCAAGTTAGGGAGGTCCTCTACAGGATAAATGTCTCTTTAACAGAGATTTCTTTCCAAAAGACTTCAGTGATGGAAAAATTGATGTGTTCTTGAAGTGCAGCTTTCCAGCTTCAACATCCTCCATGTCGACTCCAGTATCATCTGATTCCATGTCAGATTGATCATGACAAAGTTTTGAATTCTATAAAGGACACATCCTGCAAATCTGCCATAAAGCAAATATCTCTCTGGCCCCTTCTTCATCTCTAACACTTTATGGTTCTGAATCCCCTCCATGGAGCAGAAATAATTAGGGTTCTAACACTCCAGCCTCCAGTAACTACAGGACTTCAGCACGTATGGGACCCGGAGAGGAGGAAGATTCTGGGAGCTAGATTCTGAACACATGTAGGATGACTACCAAAGGCTATGGTGGATCCTAAAAATTAGTTCTCAGATGTTCAAGAGATCTCAAACGAGCCCAAGAATCACTTAAGATCTTAATGCAACTCAAGAAGGAGAATGAGTTTGATCTAATGCCTCACCTCCATTGGAAACTTACAATGGCCCACTAGCAAGTTCTCTCTGGTATGTTCTTTGTCCTCATGAAGAAGAGTGAAAACATTGCTACTGGACCTGGATGTAGAACTGAACCTTGGTCCCTTTTTTGTATCTCCAGGAGACTTCCAGTCTGGATACATACCTGCACACCCTGGGGAAATGGCAGCAAGTGCCTACTGAGATTCTGCTACCAGGGACACTTCCAGTACTGCATCCTTCTCTCTTGAGTTCTCAACATCTAGGTACCAGCGCTAGGAAGAGTTCTGGGTTTATAGATCCTGATTTTATTCTCACATTGAGTTTACACTAATGTAACTCAGTTCACTTCCGTGGAAATACTCCTGATTTACACTAGTGTAATTGAGGAGAGAATTGCGCCCATAGACCAGCCTGAGATTTGCATCTCACCAGACATTGCCCAATTCATTGCAGCAGTAAGAAAGCTCAAACCTTCCAGGATCTACACATTGCTTGTGCTCCAGATGAGGAAGGCAAAGATTATTCTAGCCTCGATGGGAAGTTTAATTTCTTTACCTCTTACAGTTGCCTTAAGAAAGCAGATATGACTTAAAACGGAAGCGTTACCATTTCCACTGAAAGGGAAGTTATGTCACCAGAAGAAATAATAAGAATTCTGTTGGACCTTCTGGTTCTCCTTGGTGCACGTTTTGGCTTTGAAAAGCCTCAAAGGATGCTATCAATGTTAACATCTGTCAGGGAATGTGTAATGAAAACACATGTTCCGTACAATACATAAACACAAGCACTTTTCAGTTCTGTGCCTTACTCTCATGCACTGTCAAAACTCTTAGGAAAGAAGGTGTTACCGTACTTTCTATGTGCGTTATGGAAAAGGGAAGATTCCCTGGCCAAATGTGGTTATGCAGCCCATAAGGTCAATGGAAGTTCTGTGTGCTGGTGTCTCTATATTCGTAGTGTGCTGGTCACCTTAGTATTTGGGTATGAAAAAGGCCAATTTGGTCTACATTAGGCCTTAGTTTCCCTTGGGTGGAATCCCTGATCTTTATTTGTTTGGGCGTGTGGGTTTTTTTGTTGGTTTTATTTGGGGGTGGGGGTGGGGAGGGATTAAACTAAATTTTTTTTTACCCTTTTTCTGAAGTGAGGCAGTATTAATTCTAAACCTCCATGCTGTGCTTTTCTGTACACTACGAAAGCAGCTACAATAAATGTCACTTTGCAACTTCTAATGTAGTTATATTGCAGAATAAAGTAATCCTAATTTACAAAATCTTATATTGACAATTTTGGTAGTGGTGGGTGGTGAATTTTGTTGTAGGGTAAGTTACACCACAATACATCACACTTGCCATGGATAATCATGTAATGTTTTCCTTCTTACAGTTTGAAGACAAATCTAATGCAGTTTTTGACATTACAGAGAAATGTAAGTGCTTCTTTTATTTATATATGTATTTATGAGTAAGCTAAAGTGTAATGCTGTATGCATATTCTCTGTTAAACCCAAACATGGTGGTTTTTGAAGACCTGCACTCTTTTTCCTTATTCATAGGTGGTGATATTCTGGATGCAGAAATGTCTGAGGACGCAGATCACAATTTAATACCTGCCCTTGAAAGCATATCCTATGAAATGCAGAATCGAACAGGATCTGAAAACTCACTGCTGGATGAAGATGATTATTTTCTGAACTCAGGGGATCTTGCAGGGATTCCAGTTGTTGGGAGTGACAATGAGGATGATCAAAATTTTACTCCAAAAGACAGTCTCCCGTCTACGATTCACACTGAAGATAACCTGGAGGACGGAAAGAGAGTTACAGAACATGAATTGGACAGTGAAAAAGAATTGCAAATACAAAATGCAATCCAAAAGGACATCACTTCATCGTGTGATCAGGGCCCTATATTTAAACCCATTCGGAAGGATTTTAGCATAGCAAGAGATAATGGTAAAGAGACTTTTTCAACAAAAGAGAAAAGCAGAGAAGGACCTTTCCAAGAACGTGAAAAACGTTTGGAAAAAATTCCTAAAGAGTTGGATTCCAGATTGAAAAGCAGTTTCCTGGATAAAGCAGGTAACCGTTTAACCCACAGAAATAACCGCTCAGGAGAGGGGAAAAAGAGAACTAGATACAGACCACTCGAAGAGTTAGTTAGGTAGCCCATTATCTTGGGGAGGGTAATGTGTCCACCTGAATGCAGGGAAAGCATTTTACATTGAACCCTGAAATATGACAAATGCATATTATAGAAATTATATATTTAGGCTCTTCTGAAAATTCTAGCCTTTTAGGCATTGGGTGCTTGACTCCCTTAGCCTTCTTTGAATATCTCAACCTAAACCTTTTTATTGTGGCTTTATTAAGTGAGCTCAATGTCACTTTAAGCTTTCTTACTGTGATTTTTGATCATGTGCTTTGCAGTCTCTTTATACTTCCATTCTTCTCTTCTATGATTTTTGTCTTTAAAAGTTTGTCAGTAATGCACTGATGCTTCTGTGAAATGCATGCTATTAATATGTGTGCCCTTCAAGGGTGGCATTGGGGGAAGGTTTATTAAAGGTACACTGGTGCCTCCAAGTAGTCAGCTAGAGAGCAGCTTTGAGACACACTGTCTACTGGGACAAGGAATTTGCTTCCCAGACTCTCTCTCCAGCCATCATGGACAGGGCCAAAGGGATGCCTGGGGATCCTCTCCTCATTCAAGGAAGCCTGAAAGTGGCCTAGTGATCCTGCTACCCATGTACCTATTTCAAACTTCCCAGGCTCTGGAAGCCTCAGTACAATGTGGGATGCCAAGCTTGACAGTAACAGAACAAGCTGAATTAATATATGATCTAATCATGTTCAGAAATCTCGGGGGATGGGGAGAAAGTAGGCTGTAGGGCTGGCCCTGGAATGAGAGGTTTCTGATTGCTGCCTCTTAGTGTTCTGTACAACTTACAACTCCGGTATTTACTGTTGTGCATACCCAATCCTGCATTTTCAAAGGCTTGTAACTCTACAAGAATTTTAAAATCAATGTTTTACAATCTCAGCATATGTAAAGGGAACAACACAAGGGCAATTTTAAAAAGTGAATGGGATTTTTTTCCCCAGACCACGTAACCGTTGGGCAGAGACCAAGCACAAAATATTTCTGCCCCAGAAGGGCATATTTTGGAAAATTATGATGAGCTTAAAGTTGAACTCTCAGAAACTGTTTTTGCAACCTTGAGTAAAGTGGCCACTAACTGTGACAGCTATAATAAATGTTCACAAACTTGCTTTGTTAATTATGTAACAAATGCAGTATCTTTGAACGTTTTAAGAAGAGCATGCACTGAATACATCTCTTCATGTATTAGCTGCTAGTACTTATGGAGCGAGGGAGAGGGGCAGAAAAACAAGAAATAGATGAGTCGTCTTTGCTTCCTTGTTTTGAAAAAATCAATAGCCAGATATAAATGTAAATGCAGAAACATGGCAGGATCCAGTTTATTCAGATGCAGATAACCCACAGGGAGGGGTATCTGCTTCAGAATTTTATGACCATTTCACTGATGTCGGGAAATAAATTATCTAATAGAAGAACAAAAATCTTAATTCTGTTTGAGCATTATATTTGACCTGCTTTGGGAAGGAAGAGGAGGAAAAGTTTGAATATAATACATAAGAGATACTCAGATATTATGCTGATGGACATTGGTATAAGACCCTAGACGGTTTGAAGCAGTTTTGTCTAAGAATTGTATTAACTTCTATTTAATATACGTTTTCCCCAGTTACTAATCAAGTAGAAGAAACGTTACGGACGCAGTTAGCACCACAGATTCCAGAAACTAACTTCAGGGTAAGTTATGGAACTCTCAGATGTGTGAGGGTGTTTGTGTTTTTTTTTTTTTTTTTATATAGATATAGATATAGCAAAATGTGTTTGTTTTGGGTATTTCAAAATAACTGCAGTTTGTCTCCATATACATTTTTACTACTTTGAAAGATCAAATGCAGATTATTTTAATTTTGCCCACCCTCTTTGGATGGGGGCCCTTGATAGTAAAGTTGCTGTACACATAATTTAGAGACCAACTACTAGACAAGTAGTTGCTTTTTGGTGAGTCTTCTGCGGTGTCCCTGTTTGCCAGAAGCTGGGAATGGGCGATGGAATAGATCACTTGATGATTACCTGTTCTGTTCATTCCCTCTGGGGCACCTGGCATTGGCCGCTGTTGGAGGACAGGGTACTGGGCTAGATGGACCTTTGGTGACCGATTATTGCTGTTCTTATGCGGGAGAAACTACTTAATAGATGAAATCCTGACCCTGCTGAAGTCTGTGGGAGTTTTACCATTGACTTCAGTGAGGCCATGATTTCATCCTAGATTTGTAGAGCCTACTGTTTTTAAGTGTCTGTTGCTTTGTTTATAAGAGCCAAAGCATTTGAAGAGGGAAGGTAATAGTTACAGACATATAGGAAGTGGTCATCTAAACACTGGATATTGTGTAAATTCTTTTTCATATTATTGTGCCTCAGGAGCCTAGCTACCTGTTTGCTAGCAAGGAATCCATTGGTCAGGAGCTGGGGAATTCCTTTGCCTCAAATATTAGAATTAAGGAAGAGCCTTTGGATGATGAATATGATAAAGCTATGGCACCACAGCAGGGACTGTTAGACAAAATTAAAGATGAACCTGATAACTCTGAGGTAAGTCTGCCATTACTTTCTATATTCTGGTTTCTTACATTCAGTCCTATAAACTGAATATGAATTAAATCTTGCACTTGGTTGGTGGTTGAAGCTTCAACCATACAGGCGTTACAGCTTAGTGCAGGGATTCTCTATCTTTTACCAGCCCCAATCCCAAAACCAAACAACGTTTTTTCCTCCCATGACCCCATATCTCAGAATGTTTCATACTGTTTGTTAGGTAAAAACCAAAATGCTGTAATACATCATTTTTTAAAAACATAGCACTGCAAGTAAGTTGTTTATGTCATTTGTGGCTAAAGTAGACCCTTCGGTCCAGCCCGTGTCTATGTCCTGTTTAAAAAAATCTAAAGTATAATTCATGGTTTTTATTGACTATTTTGTGAATTGTCACACCATAGCTGTATATAAAAATAGACTATATCTGCTGTTTACATCCTAAAGGTTACCTTCACAAGCATAAAGGCTAGAAACAATTTTTTGGAAATAAAGCTTATGGAATGTCTACATAGGTATAAAAAACCTGTGGGTGGCCCAGATTAGCTGGCTCAGGCTCGCGGGTCCCGACCCCAAACATCTACATAGCAGTATTTTCAGGCCCAGGGCCTGAGTCCCATAAACCCCAAGTCAGTTGCTTTGGGCCAGCTACAACTGTGCCACGGATCTTTTATCCCTGTGTAGACGTACCCGTACAGGCCTTAATTCACAAAAGCAATTAATCACATGCTTAACTCCCATTGACTTGACTTCAGTTATAGGAACACTTAAGTGTATGCTTAAATGCTTTCTTGGATTCTTGAGCTTTATAGAAATTTTTGTGACCATACAGAAAAAAGTTTCATGATTCTAAGGTTGAGAACCATTGGTCTAATGCAGTGGTGCCCAACCGACGGCCAGCAGGCCATACGTGGCCCACCGGAGCATTTCATAAGGCCCGCAGCCTGCTTCAGCACAATATACTAATGGCCGATTCATTAGTGTTTTGTCATGTTTACATCATTTTAGATTACACAAATGTATAAATAGGTTGTTTCTAGATACAGTATTGTCTATCTAAATACATACAAAACAAACTGAACTTAAAATATAAATCAATACAGGTGAGTTTAAATCTTCTACACATTTTAATAATCTGTTTGGCCTCCCACACAAGATTGTGCTTAGGTTTATGTGGCCCTCCTATGTAATAAGTTGGGCACCACTGGGCTAGTGGATTGAATGTGGTGGCAGGGAGGTGTGGGCAGGATTTTAAAAGTTCTAACCTATCTTTGCCACTTGATTTTTTTTGTGGCCTTAAGCAAATCATTTGATTTGACAGTGCCTCAGTCTTCCTCATTCCTAATATGGGTATAATATCCTCATAGGGTATTATGATGGTTAATTAGTGTTTGCCTAAGGCTTTTCAAAATAAAGTGTGTGTGTGTGTGTGTGTGTGTGTGTGTGTGTGTGTGTGTGTGTGTGTGTATTACTTC